TGACAATTTCTTAAATCACTCCAACGTATCAACTTCAAATTTAATTAATGCAACTGTTTTGTGTAAGGATGCTGAAAATATGGCATGAGAAAATATCTGATTAAAGAGAAACTTGCCTGTATTTCATCAATAACAGCACAATGGTAGTGGGAGGTTACATCAGCCGTCTCCACTGTGACAGCTTTATGGCTTGCACCATCAACTTCGTCTCTCTCTTGTCCAGTAATTAGATCACAAGGAATTTTTGCCTCGCTCATTCGTTTTGCCACTTCCCACGCTAACAATCTCAAAGGACTTCAATATATACCTGCAGAGAGCCAGAGCCCATAACAAAGGGGAGTTGGGGACGAGTCAACCATTTCTTTGGGTTGGGCCTATGCCATTTTGTAAGGAAATTTTTGTTTGGGTTTGAGCTGGGTTTAGAACTTTGGCAACTTGTCTCAAACCATTTCTTCCGTTGGGTTGGGCTAGATTTGTCCTGCATTTTGTTCCTGTGTAATTGTGTCTTTTGGTTTAGGGTCAAATATGATACGAAATCACCAAATCTTGACGCTCGTCTCCACTTTCCGACCACAAAGATCTGCGAGCAACAATGCAAGGCGTTACATCCCCTTCAACCCTCTATGGACCAATGCAGAATCATTGCCTTCGGCTAACTCATCCTCTACCGCCGACTTATCCCTCTTCCGGACTTGGGTCAATAGCCAGAAGCCGGAAGTACCGATCCAGATGAAGATTTCATGATCCCTTCACTTTCTAGTTGGATTGAGAGCCAGACCAGCTAGGTTATGCACTTCCCAAATCGCGAACCTGATTCTGATGTTGATCGAGTTTGCGAAATCCTTAAGAAAGTATTCATGGTATAATAAAGTTGTTGAAGCGCTAAATGGGTGCGAGCTAAGTGTGTTAAACAGCTTAATAGAGAAGCTTTTGAAGAGATTTGATAATGATTGGATCCCATCTTGGGCGGTTTTCACTTGGGTAAAATTACAAACAGGTTATGAGCATACCACTGAGGGAATGGTCCCCTATCAGTCAACACACAGAGTGCTGGTAATTCAAGCTAGAGCATGTAGATAACTTTCTTGCGTTTGGCTTCGCCAGCAGCCTAGTCATTATTTCACCTTTATAAGGTATCAATACGAAGGAATACACAGTAGAAAGAAACAAAACAAAGGCACTAACAAGCTGCTCGTTGCCTTTTGCGAAAATAAATTCAATATCTAGCACCCATCTAGACAGTTATTGGATAAATAAATTCACCTTTTAACCAAAAAAAAAAAAAAAAAAAGTCACCCATCTAGGTTGATTTTAAACCCAATATCACTAGCAAAAGTAAACAAAACATTTCAGTGAATACTACTAATTAATTCTACGAGAATCAGTCAAATTATAACATCACATTACATTTCAGTGAATCAAACACAACCGTTACCCCTTTCAGACAACTTCCTAAAACAATTCTGT